ACATTTCATCCTTTTGATAACTTTTCCAACCCTAGCATTTCTAGGTGGGACTCTATCATGAATAGGTTGCCCATGAGGAGTTTCACATGGGTCATACTCAACTGGTCACGCAAAAAAATCTCTACCTTCTTGGGATCTTATATAGGACGCTGGAAAAGTTGCCCATGATTGACACACAAGGGAACAAATTATTTCGAGCGCAGGAGTAGGAAAAATATCTTGGGCAAATTCAATGAAATTTTGAGGATTATCAGGCGACCTTGTAGAGGAGTGGTTGTATTCTTCAGGTCATTTTTCCAAGTCTTTAAGGAGTTAAACCATTTGTAGCTCCAACTTAGTAAGTCTAGCATCTGGGTTATTGGGGGAGGCTGAAAAGGCAGTACAATCTGGAGTATCTCTTAGGTGGTAAGGAATGGATAAAAATAAAAAATCAAAATGGAAATTTATTACTGTAAGAACTTTAAAATTCCAGATTTTGCAACAGGGATCAGCTCAGGATGCTCTTGCACAGCACGTGCGGGGCCGTTGGGTGACACAGGACTACGAGGCTCCAGCAGAAGGATGACCCGAGTCCTCTGTTTCTGTTTATGCGATGTGGAAGCCCAATGGCGAAGAGAGTTAGAAGGCAAAGTGTTGTTGGGGCTAAGGCTAGGGTTTTTGCAATCTGGGGTTTTTATGAGAATAGAGAGTTTGGCAGCAGGCAGAGGTATAAATGGACCTCAATTAGTGAAGTGGAGGAGAAAGATGGGGTTTTGTGGATTGGTTCTGTAAATAGTCCTGTTGCAGGTATCTATAAAATTTGATCTCTTTTTTTTTTTTTCTGGTTTTGAGAAAATATTTTTAAAGTTTTATTCTTTTTCTTTTTCTTTTCCTTTTCCTTTTATTGAAGAAAAAGATGAGTGCATGAAGAAAAGAAAAATGGTATTACATAAATCTCTGTTGTCATTTTGGGAACTTGTACATCTTTATTTGAGTCATTGGGTGAATTATCTGCAACACTCAGTCATTTTTATCAGTCGATGGTACAAAATCAACTACCCTAAATGTACTCTTTAGAGGGTGAGAATTAGAATCAGAACCTGAAACCCACCGTTTTTGGATGGTCCACTTTATCACCATAAATTCTCCTGCATCATGGAGGAAGTAGTGGGATAGTGGGCCCAAATAGCAATCTGATCCTGTCTTGGCCCTTGATGTTTGTGTGGGACCCGTTGTCTCTACCAAATTCGCAGAGTCATGTTGGACTTTATGGCCTTTAACCGTCTTTTTCATTTTTTTTCTCCTCAAAAACATTCGTGGCTCAAATGATTCCCGACCCCTCTTGGTGAGAAATTTCTTTTCTTCATCTGTTTTTATTTTTATTTTTATTTTTTAATTTCTTCAATCTATATTATACACACACGCGCGCACGCACGACTGGGAATTTTGTCGATTCCTTAAAATATATACTAATTATTAATTATTTTTAAAATATGAAAGTACTTTTTAAATATATTAAAATGAAACTAATTATACATTATGTAACAGTTAAGTATATATTTAATGTAATAGATATTTGTTTAAGTATTTTAAATATAAAATATAGCTTGAGGACAGGGTTTACTATTACGAGCCACACATATCTTGATCTTGATTAAACATGGATATTATTTGAAGCATGATTAAAGCAATGGACAGGTGGGCATAGAATTTCTTCTTACACACTAATAATGAAAAAAGATAAAACTTTCAAAAAGTAATGCATGTTGAATTTCTAAATTCAAAATACGTACTAGGTACTAATTAAAATTAAAATTTTATCTTTATTTTTTAAAAATTCAAACAAATGATTAAATGTGTATATTATTATAATTTTTTTTATATTTAAAATTTAAGCAGATCATATATTTATTTTTA